AGCAGGAACAAAACTGCGGTCAGGCAAACGTAAGCATCGCGCTGGGTATAAAATTACGTAAGGTCTAGATTTGGCTTCATTCATCAAAAGCAAATACCTCCACAACTCTAAATGCACCATTCCTAAAGCCTCCCCATACCCCCTGTATAGGGAAGCAGGTGATTTGTCTTGCTTTTTTTTTTTTTTTCTTCCAGTCCTCATGGAACTGGGGACTGAACAGGCTAAAGGACAGAAAGCAGTGCAAGAAGTGAAGCGGTGTTGGGTTTGGTAGGAGAATTAAAGGCTGCTTTTACTCTGAGGGAACCAGGCATTAAGCTGGTTTATTACAGCCCATTTATTCACCTACTTTGTCAGACTCGGATTGCTAGGGACATAACTACCTATTTTTTCCTTCATCGCAGAGCAGCAGGTCACTGACAGGTTTCAGTAAGGCCAATTCAATGGGCTGTTCAAAAGCAAAGAGCTATCGGACAGCACATGCAAGTCTGCCAGTCTCCATTAAAAACAATGTTGCTTTTTTCTGGGGACGTTTGTGAGAAAAGATCGTGCCATTCCACTTACACTGGATGCCCAACAAGCATTCCAGGATTCTTTACAGGTTCCCTTGTACTCCCTGCGCACTGCTGGGCCGCTGCTGAAGCCCCGCTCCTCACAGCGCCTCTTCTGCCACCCCGCTCCCGAGCGCCACCCGGCAGAACCACACCCCGCTCCTTCACAGGGCGCTCAGTGCAAGGAGAAAGGGTTATGGTTTCGATTTAACCGGACTGATATGGGGGAGGAGGGGGCTCAGGCAGAGGCAGCCCTGTTTGCTGGAGACACAGAGCTGAACGTGGCAGCCCGCACCGGCTTGCATCACACCCCAGCTCTCGGCCAAAGCGCAGAGGTTTGTTCGCTGCACGATGATTAAAGCCTGCACGGTCGTTCTGCACACCGGGCTCCCGCTCCCTTGCCAGAGCTCGGGGCGTCGCTTGTCTTCGGGAGAATAATAGAGACACCTTTGCAGCATCGCTGCTATCAACCACCTCCGAACTCTGAACGACATAACAGATCACAGTATCTCCCAGTTGTTCTAGAAAGCGAGTCACACCTTTATGCCTGTTTTTTCTTTTCAGTATTCGTAGACTGTTCTCTTCTGCTGTCTCTTCTGTGCTCTGTAAGAAAACCAAAGCAAGACATTTTTACATCATACTGACATTTACTGCTTTGTTTCCATTATCTTACCTCTATATTAGCAGAAAGATAAAAAGCAGCCTGTATTTCTGTGAATACAGTCAGCTTCTCTGCACAGCTAACAATACTCCTCTCCAGACACTCCGTTTTTAAAAAGGGAAGCAAAAACTGTTTAAGAAAAGCCCAACACATGGGACACCCTCCTTAATTACTGCATTTGCAAATGGCACGGACCTTAACAAATGCCTACCACAAAACTGTTTAAGAAAAGCCCAACACATGGGACACCACCCTCCTTAATTACTGCATTTGCAAATGGCAAGGACCTTAACAAATGCCTACCAGAGACTCCCAGTGCAAACGATGTTTAGCTCCCTAGACCTGATGCAATACTAGAAAGGATTTGAGAGGAGAGGGGGAATATTTTTCTTTTCCTTTGGACATGACCCAGACATTCTCTGCTGTTCCGTGTCAGTACCGCAAGTAATTCTTAAGCTCTGTTCACAAAACTCCACCAGTGTAAAAATGCATTGCTTACACAACGGTAAACAATTTATCCCGCAGCAATAAATGCTTGAGCCCCTCAGCTTCTTATCTGCGGTGTTGGTATTGATTTCCAAGATGGTTAGCACTGGAGAGCAGCAGAAAGAGCGCATCACCATGGGTAACAGGCCAAATGAAGCTCAGTTACACCACCAGGATCATAAGTGGATTTACAGCTGAGAAATTCCTGGAGACAAACAACCTACCCTTATGAAAGTACTACATAAAAGCTGCAAAGATCATCCACGTCCCCTCACACGACCTCCCTTTAATCTCAAGACCTGGGAAACGCAGAAGCTTTTTCCCAAGGAAAGCTGGATGCTAACTGCTCTAGAAAGAAGAAATCCTGAACCCCCTTCCCCCAACAGTCAGTGGGAGTTCCCATGCGTACTTCTGTGGAGCCAAGAGAATCACCTCAAAACTTAAAATAAACTGTATTTACAGGTTTTCTAAAAACAGCCTCTAAAACAACTCCCCCTGCAGCCAGAGGGGTGCTCTGCTCGATAGCTCCCGGACCCCCGGGAAGGCCATCTACAGCGGCAGAGCCGGGAACTGCCTGATCTGCAATGAAAATCTGCCACACCTGCCACGAGCACAGGCTCGCAAACAAGTAAGCGCCAGCTTAAAAGGCCAAAGGGACTCATCAAAAGCAGTTTTTCATGGGAACGGTGTCAAGCCCTAAGCACATCTGAGGGATGTAGTACTGCCAAAGAAAAGGAGCCTCCGAAGGGAAGCTCTTTCTGGTCACATCAAGATCGCAGTCAGGTCCAGAGGTTCCCACCGCATTTGTGCCATGTTACCCGGGGGCAGCAGTGGCTCTTGCCTGAAGCAGCTCCAAATGCAGTTTTGTTTTGACAGAACAGTAAGAACAAAACAATGCAGCCGTAAAGGAAAAATTACCACTTCCTTGAGGTAATCTCTTTCTGACTACACCGTCAAAATACTTCACTAAAGAAGTCCTTTGCTGTAGCGGATGTGGGTTCCTGTTTTAGAACTACTTAAATGCAGAATTACCATTTGTTCCGTGACAGTGGAAGATTTCAACGCGTGTCTTCTCCTCTTATTAGCTGCATCTAGGAACCAAGAAACAAGAAGTAACAAATGCGTCAAGACTCAGACTGACAATTTCACATCAAATTCTCTCTTTTTCCCCAAAAGCTACAGAAGTGAGGCACTTTGGGTAGCAAGGCAAGAAGAGTACGTTTCAGCTTCAGCTTTGACCTGACATTTCAGTGGAATCTGCATTATTTCCACGTTAGAAAAATCACAAGCCTGAACCATTAGGAAGAAGTGCAAATCACTGGAGCAGTTAGGCTATCACTTTGCCTTTTGAATTCAGTATAAAGCAAACCCGTTTTTTAACATAAGATTTTTGATTGTGGCAGAGTGAACTTATTCTTCCTGACAGCAGCACTGCCTCTAGGTGGTAAAAACTTCAGGCAAATTTATGAAAGGTGACTGGGTTTTTTTCCAGTCAATTCTTGTTTCATGTTAATACACCATCAAAACTAAGACTACATAAAGAATTCTTTTAAGTGACCCAAAGATGTTAGGATTTTCATCGATATAAGGACCCTCCCAGAAAGCCTCCAGAAGCAACACAACTTGTAAGTTTGATATTATTCACGCCTACAAAGTGGTTTTAGTGATGTGGTACGAGATCTCCACAAAATCGTCTGCATTCAACCTCTGTCCTTTCTATCCGTGCGCACCAGCCTCTCTGCAACATCGTACCTGGCAGCTGCTGAAAACAGCCACAGCATCGCAAGTGGAGAAGGACAACTCTGGCAAGGAAGACATGGCAGGAGCAAGGAAAGCTAGAGAAAAGTGCAACCACCCACCAAAACCTGAGGGTTTTAAATGCGGTGGGGTTATGTGCCCCCTTCCCGTTTAACTCTACATCCTTTGGGCAGCACTTAAGTCAGGTTTTTCCTGTTAGAAATAATCCTCTTAAAGAGGAATGAGGAGTTAACTTTTGGTACAGGAAGGCTGTTGAAACAAGTTTGGGTTTTGGGTACCGGTGCTGTACATTTGCATTTTTTATGGCCTAAAAGGAAATCACAGCCTCTTACTTCATGCAAAAAAACGCTGGGTGACCTAATTTGGAGCAGCCTAGGAAACGCTGATGTAGGCACAAAGTGTTCCTTGCTGTCTAGCACGACATCTTTGACCCGTGGTGGGATTTTCTCAGCTCTTCCTGATGTTTGCTTTAGGGATGCCTTATAAAACAAGACGAACGCAATCTGAGGAGCAGCCCAACTCTTCCTGCTCCCCACAGCGTTCTCTGCTCTTCTACGTTTGTCAGCCTTTGCTCTGGGCACATCCAACATTTCCAGTTAAGCAGAGGTTGGAGCCTGTTTCCAAGTCCAAACTGCCCTCCCCTCCCTGCTGCGTAGAGCTGCAAGGAGACCTCTCAGCCCCTCAGGCACCCTATCCCCTTCCAATCACCCAGCAGAGCCCTGACATTTCACCACAGGAATGTTGTCTGGACCAAGAACAAGGGGATGTTCCTCGACCCTGTTTTTTCCAAGCTACCAGGGAAAGCAAGGCTGGAGAGGCAGCCCTTTTGTACCAGCTCCTGCTCCCACACAGGGCCCAGGGCAACGGCTGAGCTACTTCACCTGAGTTGAATCCTGAAAGCCAAAACTCTACCCTGGAGCCACAGCGCTTCCATCCCAGCCTGTCTCACTCCCACCCCAGCCTGTCTGGCTCCCCACCCTGTGCAGACCTGCAGCCACCCAGCGCAGGTGTCCCCCACCTGCCCAGATGGGCCAGAGTACCTGCTACTTCAGCCAACTAACCACAACTGGCTATTCCGAGCACCACGCGTGCATCCAGAAGCTGCTCAGAGGCAGGAGATGTCAGGTTTGGGGAACCAAGTGTCATCTGCCCAACTCTCACCGCTGCTCCCCACCTCATGGGGCACAGCTACTCTCTCAGATGGAGGTGGGAGAAGCTCATTCAGGAGGCAGGGCAGCCACTGCCAGCCGAATCCGTTTACCCCCTCATAAACAGAGGGTCTCCAAATTAAGTGCCTCTGCAAGATCTCCTCTGGGAGAAAACTCTCTTCTCAGGGAACAGGCATATACATATATGGGAACATTGTATATGCAGCACTTGAAGACACCAAGACCTTGAACCTTGTAAGATTTAAGCCTTCTTTATGAAGGAGGTGGTCTACAGGGCTGGACCTAATGCCTTAATCTCATCTCATACTGGAAATGAAGCAATCCTGGCCCTCTCTAGTACTTGGGCAGGAGAGCACCCAGGACCCTGACAACCATTAGACCACAGAAATCAAATTAATGTTAAAAAGGGAGGGAATGTCAGGCCTCGGAACTATGGATAAGTAAAAAGCAAAACTACTAAGTGAAATAAGAAGCTGTATTTGATCAGTGAACCACAGCAACATCAGGTGTTAAAACGGACTGCGTGTCTGGCTCAGAAGCCCCAGCCCCTATGACTAAATGTTTAAATGATAATCACCTAACCCAGCTCCTGAGCGACACCAGGGTGGAGCCAGACGCTGTCAAGACTGGCCAAAGTTCGCTAGACCTCAGTGGGGAGCACACCACTCAGCATTAGCACTCCAGTTCAGTTGAGCTTAACTTCAAAGCGAAGGCCAGCCTAGGACCCACTGCGTTTTGAGCAGGATTGCACACATTAGGTTAAGAAAGGCACGGCTTCGGTTGGTGAATTCAGTGAGATTCCTGACTACCTCTGAATCAGCAAGGACCAGGACTGCCGAATTAGGCTGCGTTTCTGTAGCAAAGGAAGCAATCCTTAAACAGGGGTTGTATAACCCTTTTGTTACACTTAAAAAGCTCTTTGGGATCCTTCAGAATGAAAGGCCCTATTTAAAAAAAAAAACTACCGCAGTGAATACAGGAGGTGCAAATGCGAACGTTTTAACGTAACTACAGATAAAAATCCCAAGGTGACTGCTCCTGCAACAGCCCTCTCTTTGCTAATGAAGTGCAAGCTTGTGCATCGCCTTAGCGTGGCTCGCATCTCTCACGTGGATTTTACAAGCTGCTTGGGCCTACCTGCCTGCACACAGAATAATTCCATGAAGGATCAGGTCCACAGTGTTTTAAGTCTGTTTTGAGGGAGATTCAGGGAAGATCAAGTATAAACATTTCCTGCTTCAAAAAAACCTTCTCAATTTTTGTGCGTATGAATGGATCTCAATCAAACCACTCCTGCAAGATTACAAATCCACCACTCAATTATAAAGGTGGAGTAACATTTATTTTGTTCAAATGAGTTATTGACTGTAGGATGCAAACTTTTAAAACAAATGAAATCAATGAAGCCATTAAAGAAACTCACCATAGTGATTGGTCCTATTGCCTGGGTCATGTTTTGGGCAGAACACTCTAAAATTTAAGTTCAATTTTAAGAAAAAGAGAAAAAGTATTAATAAATACGCAGAGTTATGCGGACTGATTTTAACAGATATTTTCCCCTCTTTTCATTGAATGTAAACTGAGAGACTCTTAAAAAAAACAATCAGGATTTTTCTTCAGCATTACCCACCTAGGAAAGCACCAGCTGTAAAGTCACATACATGCACAAGCTTGTATTTGTACTTTTAGAGCCTCAGTGGATTCTGAACACTGAAGCTGTGAATTATCAGTTCCGTTACCCTGCTCTGTTTGGACTTGCTCGCTGTTCAAACCCCGAGTCTGACACATTTCATCTGGTGTGGCGCTCGAACGCTGCGGCAGAGGTACTCTTACTGAAATGCCTTATTAAAATGAGATTCGTGCTGCCAAGACGAAATACCACAGTGCTAATATTGCTTGATTGTACCCATTGCTGTTCTGCCCCTCTCGCCCTGTACCACGCAGGCCAGGGTCCAGAACATCTTAAGACGAATCTGCTTACCAGTCACAGCTTGAACTTAAGCCCTGCCTGACACGCCGGCACAGCCACGCAGCACTGCCCTGCCCACTCCGCTACCACACACAGTACCAGTTACTTGTGCCCCTCCCTTTCCACTGCCCAGTGCTGATGAGGTGGTCCCCAAATCCTGAGGGAATAGGGCACCCCATTTGAGATCCAGCAGCTTAAAGCCGGTCAATCCACTCGTGCCTTAATGACTTCAGTAGTAAGCGAGATGGGATTTTTTAGTCTGGTTCTAGGAGAGCAATGTGAATTCCTTGGAAGAGGCAAAATGCAACAAATCCAGCTGGAAATATTCCTTATCTTCTGGATACAATTATGTGTAGAGAACATGAACCAGCTTCTAGAATGTGCCTTTCTTACAGAAGGATCCCAAATCACTTTTTAAGCAAAAGTGCCTTGTCAAGAGCGTGGTTTAGCTGATCTCTTCATTACAAATCTATTCGCCCAGACCAATGCTCGAATGTTTGGAAGCAATTTTTAAAGGGCACTGCATGCTAGGACATTTTCTAATGATTGTGATTCGTTTATTTTAACAAAACAGAAGCACTGACCTTAGAAACAACACAGCCTGTTTCCTTGACGAGCCAGCTTTTTTGCATGAAATTAATTTTGATGCACAAAACCCCAGACTTATGCATGCCTAACAATTCAATCAGAAAGCTAAGTACTGGAGGCACCTTATTTCCATCTCTGAATTTCTAAGATTGCCCTCTGGAGGCTGGTTTTTTTTTCCTCCCTTACCTTTAATTCTATTCTTTGCTTGTTAAAAACAACCTTCCTAAGTACAAGAACATCTTATAAAGAATAGATGATACCTTTTACTAGTCAGGCCACTTTATTTGGAAGCGCTTCTCTACTATAATTTTTGCAAGATGGCAGTACAAATTATGCTTATTTCCCCACCTCTGCTCTTACTAGCCACTTCCACAGCACTGGATGCCTCCTCTTTTTTGTTCTGCTCTAATTCGTTTTGAAAATCACTGCTCATCATCACAATGATGGCAACTCAGAACTTATAAACAACAGTGCTCTTCTCTCCTGAAGGAATTCTCTCTTCTGATACGCTTTTCAGTATGTTGTATTTCACCACGAAAAAGTGCAGGGGGCTGTCAATCCACATCCACTATTTTTCCAGTGTTGTTTGTCTTCTCTCCAATAATTTCAGGCTAGCTACAAATTTTGTGCTTTATTTATGCCACCGATACTGTGCAAAAGTCTTTTGGGTTCAAACCCTGAAACCTGCCTCACCATCTTTCTCTAATCCAGTCCTTTTACATCTCTTCAATAAAGGTTGCTATAGCCTAGTTTCCTGTGTTGCTCTATAGGACAAGCAACTAGTCTCACACACTGACTTAATACAAGGCATTTTTAAGGGTCCCTCTTCCAAACCTCCAAGGTCACCAGCTCAGGAAAACACCAAATCAAACTATATATTCAACCACTTCTTTACCCGTTTGTATCTAGACTGTTATCAGCCCCATTCATTTTTCAACATCTTGAGAAGCTCGGTCATCTTCAGCCTGAGGTATCCTTTCCAAGAGTGTATGGGGAGAGCCCTTTATTCGGCGATCATGGAAAGTTTCCGTCTTCCCAGCTACACTC